AGCAGGGAGCGCCAGCCACAGGGTGGGTGAGAGGCCGCTTTTACCTGCACTCAACACCAGCTTCTTCCCTGCTGGTGAGCAGGGGGTCAGGGCTGTGCGCTGCCCCCCGCCTGTACTGTGGAGCTGTGCGGCACTGGGAGCCAGTGGGCACGGAGCCAGCGGGAGCACAGGACCCACACCAGTGACCCAGTGCCTGTGCCAGCGAGGTCCAGAGCAGGGTGGCAGGACTGCGGGGTCCCAGCCAGCAGGGGCTCTATGGAGCCAGGCCAGTTCCCCCCTCTCCCTGCTGGTGCAGCCCAGCCCAGCTCCACAGACCCCTGGCAGCCTGTGCCCCACTTTGGGCTCCACCAGTGCTGGCCCTAGGACATGGGACCAATGTCCCAATGTCTTGGGACCAAAGACATTGGGACATTGGTCCCAAGATGGTGACCAGGGGGCGGAGCACCTGTCAGGGGGTGGGGCTACCCATGCGGCCCTCAATAGCCTGCCAAAACTGGGTAAGCGGCCCTCCACCTGAAATAATTGCCCGCCTCTACCCTATACTGTATCATTAGCCTCTCACTTCCTCTTCCCTCCTTTTGTTCAGAAAGCACAAGACCAGAGCAAAACAGCTTCATTTCCCTCTGAAAATTCTCTGGCTGACTGCCTCACTGACCTGAGTAGTGAAGGCAGAACACAATGGATTTTTTGCCATACGGCTGTAAGCAGCTCTGTTTCTGCCTTCAGAAATACAGACCCCGTACCTGATTGCAGACACAGCAGAAGCAGGCTGAAGTGTTGTCAGAGGCAATAAAACAGCTGAAAGTGAGTGCTGCAACAATTTCTTCCTCCTTTTTAAATCTTTACAAACCAAAAGAAGCCTAGAAACAGAGAGCTGCTTGCTCATGTGCAAAGACAATAGAATTCCTGGTCAATGTAATTATTACAGTCTTTGAGCAGATGCTTAAAATAAGATGAAACTTAAGGGTCAAAGCTTGCTCACATTGCTCTGGCTCCATCACAGCTGTTTTGGCACTAACAATGACCATGCCTTTTGTAGTGTCATTTATCCCTCTAGATTTCCTTCATCCCCTAGTCTAAGGGTTTTTCTGCTGTGAACTGGTCAGAAGCAGCCTGCAGCTTCCTATGGATCAATCTTTACTGATTCAAACTATGAGAGGTCCCTCCCTACATTTTTTCTTTATCTTTTGTCATTTGTATTGAGCCTCCACAGACTTGGTGGAACCTCTGGAAAACTTTTGGTCAACCTGAAATAGGAACATAAGGCAAAATGGTTTCCCAAATTGTGACAGATATATGGAATACAGGCAGTCCTCGGACTTACGACACAATTAGTTCCTGAAAACCATGTCTTAAGTTGAAATGTTGTAATTCAAACATGATTTTCCCATAGAAGACAATGTTATAAATGGGGGATTGGTTCCTGAACCTAGGCCCGCTACCCTATTTTCACCAAAACTAACTTAGAATTTTGTACAGTACTCAATCAATTATAGACGAGTAATACAGCTACGTTTACTTATTTTATACTGGACTGAGACTTATGTTTTTTCAGTAGAGTTAGTGCTGTAGTGGTGACAGTGGCAATGAGCAAGCACCGGATGAGCTGCCTGACAAATGGCTCCCAAGCAAGTGACACGCTGCTGCTTCAGCCATGTGTCCAGAAGGGCATGGAGGGTGGGGGCACGTGTCCCTGGATCTGCCCTGCATGCAGGCCACCCAGCCCCAACCAGATCTGGGGACACATGTTTCCCCCACTCCCAATCCCCTCCCGGACATGTGGCGGGAGGTGCCAGATGAGCTGTGGCTTCTCCTGCACCCGCCCATAGTCCCTGCTCCCAGTGCTGCTGTGGGCAACTGGGCAGGGAGGCACAGAGGGGCCGCCTCAGCGCTGGGGGCTTAAGCTCTGAAAACACCTGTGGGGGAGCAGCCAAATGTGTCCCGGCTTCTCCTATGGCTGCCCATAGCCCCTGGAGCACAGCTGTCTCATCCAGCTGTTCCCCTCGGCAAAGTGGGCAGTGCCAGGCTGCACTCTGGGGGCTATGGGCAGCTGTAGTAGCAGCCCGGTACTGTCCACCTCGCTGTGGGGGGAGCAGCGGGGGCCATGGCTTCTCCCAAAGCTGGCCATAGCCCCCAAAGCGCAGCTGCAACTCATCTGGCTGCTCCCCCACTGCTCCCCCCACAGCAAGGCAGAGCCACTCACAGCCCTCAGAGTGCAGCCTGGCACTGCCAGAGCACAGCCCTGGCACTGCCTGCCTGGCTTCGCCAGGAGCAGTTGGACAAGCCATGGCTTCTCCTGTGCCCACCCATAGCCCCAGCTCCCAGAGCGCTGTGCAGCCCCGGCTAAGCAGCGCTTGCCCCAGCCCCTGTCCCTCCCTCACTGCAGGGACCTTAGAATCATAGGGCTGGACAGGACCCCAAAGGATCATCGGGTCCAGCCCCCTGCATGAGCAGGAAAGACATCTGGGGCCAGGTGACCCCAGCCAGGTGACGGTCAAGTCTTCTCCTGAAGACCTCTAGGGTAGGTGATTGCATCACCTCTGGGGGACCTGGTTCCATAGTCTGGACACCCTAGTTGTGAAGAAGTTTTTCCTAATGTTCTGCTTTAATTTAGTTTCTGCCTTCTATGATTCTATAATTTGATGCTATGGGGAGATGTCCAATAGGTAGGCCTAAGCAGTCCTGGAAAAGCCTGTGCAATTCACTGGGAGAAAGAGTATGAAGAAGAAATTCTAAAGGGGTGATCTGGGGGAAGGAGGCAGAGAGGTGTGGGACCCTGGTCTGCCTACAATGTTCCAGAGCTCCATTCGGCAGACAACTGGATCAGATGTTTTGTTAATGTCCTTCTCTGTATTTCTGTTTCTTGGATTTAAAAAAGCTTCACTTTCCATAGAGTTTCTTTTGTTCATCTCAAATTCTCATCGTATGGGACAAAGCCTATATTTGCCAACCTGAGAGAGTTTGCAGCATGAGAAATGGTCCATTTTATTAATGTTTTTAAATGCTATCACATGAGTGGTCATCACAGTGATTTAGAGTCTGTCCTTCTGGTAGATCAAAGTAAATCTCACAATCAGATACTCTCTTATCACACATTCTGATTATCTTATTTTATTTTCAGTTGCCTCTGGATTTTCTTAGAAAATGCATTAACTTCAGCTAAGTGGGGACTACAAGAAAATCAACTGACAAGACAAGCCATCCAACCAGTCCCACCACAGGGCTTCAATCAATTCAACTTCAGGCAAAGTTTTTCTTTAGAATTCTTCCAAGCTCTGTGACCCGCCAGCAACTCCACAGAAACCAATGGCTCCACATCAGCAAGCAAGAGCACGATCTGGCATTCTTTCCTGTCATTCAGTGCTCACCAGCACTCAGGCTCTCTCCATATTGGAAGCTGATACTCATTAACAGGGCTGTACAACTGGTGTACCATGGGCCACATGTGGCCTACAAGGGGTTAGCATGTGTTCCCCAAGCTCCCACCCAACTGCTACTGAGCTTCTCAGGGCTGCACCTCCTCCCAGCTTCTAAAAACATAAGAACAAAAGAGCTGCCATACTGGGTCAGACCAATGGTCCTTTTAATTCAGTATCTTGCTTCCAACAAGAGGAGGGAAATGCCCGCCCATGGGCAGATCTAGGATTTTGAAAAGGGGAGTAACAATAGGGTTGTACAACCTCACATATAACACAATATATATGTTTCTTCAGTTAAAAAGAAACTGGAAGTTTAGCTAATATGCCAGAGGCCTAGGGCTATATTATTCAGTTTAAGATCAAAGCAAAAACAAGTATATGTTTATTGTAATATGCATTTGCTATATAGTACATATAGAAACACAACAAACTAGGGGGAAAAAAACAAAATATGTTGTTTCATTAGTCCTGTGGTCATTAGCATTTTTCTGATTCATAAAACAAAGGCTAGCCTTCATGAGTATCTTGACAGTTCATCCAATGCTCCACTGAAAGTTATTTCCTGAGTTAATGTTTTTAAGCTACAATTAAAAACAGTCTGCAGGGCTGTGAAAAGGGAGCTACATTACTAGAAGCCACTAACAGATGCAGAATTATAGAAGAAAGGCTAGCTTGATTCGTGGAACATCAAAACCATTAAAAAGGAGAGAGGGTTGTTAACACCTGTGGAATGATTAGAAAGAATCATTTAGATTACAGAGAGCCATGAACTTAATTGACTCCCTCACTGCTGCCTGAATACAAATTCTGCTGCCATTGTCAAGCTGTTTCTTTTTTAACTTTGGACCAGAAATCATACAGGAGGTACAACTGCACCACTGAACCCCCCTAGATCCACTCCTGTGCCCACCTGCTCTCATGCACATGAGCATGTGCAGCCTGGGATGGGGGGAGGGGGCATGGCCTCTGCTAGTGCTGTCCCTGGCATGTGCAACCTCTGGGGCATGTGGCCCTCAGCTGCTTTGAAGTTGGACAGCACTGCCTAGGAAACCAAATTCAACTGATTTCTTGTTGCAGTCTCCCAAGACCAGGAAGTCTTGGTAAGACTATGGAAGTCCTTGCCCACTCCAAGCTCTTCCCATGGATTTTCAGATGGGCTGCACAACAAGGTACAATAAGAAAATGGACAGAGCTAGTAGGTGTTCCAATTGCCTAGTGAGGCTGCTTTGTAGGGGCATTGGCATGGAAGCCTGTGGGAAGGCTGCACTGGAGGATAAGGTCCTAATGAGCAGGGATCTTGGTTTTCTCTGATTTAAAAAAAATTCCCAATTTTCAGTTAAAAAAAAAGTAACCTCAACTCCATATTTTTCTGTGATTTAAATGAAATACTGCTATATATATATTTAATGGTGGTTCATTTAAATCACAAAAAATGTGGAGTTGGGGTTACTTTTTTTAACCAAAAACTGGGGATTTTTTTTTTTTTTAAATCGGAGAAAACCAGGATCCCTGCTAATGAAGAAGTTTTAGAGATACAGAAATTCAATCATTATGCGGTCTTACTGCTGCTACCTCTGTCCGTGTCTTGCAGAGTAGAGGATCGAGGGCACTGGGCTCTTGACGGCTACCTCCATCACCCCAGGATTTTCCTTTTTTTAAGATGGCACAAAAGGTTTCCAAAATGGAGGAAGGCGCAAAGTGCACCTTGGCCTCTATCTGTGAATGGCAGAAGACAGAACTCCCTCCAGTTAATGAGGTCAGTGAAGAAACTAATGGGTGAATTCAAAGACCTGTTATGCAAGAACACAGACTACACAACGGTAACACTTCACTCTTGCCTTACACACACTGCTTCTGAAGGAGCTTGCAGGGAAGGACATCTTCATTTCACTCCGTCACAACAAGTAGCTACTTACAGCCAGGCACCTTAACAAGGGATCCAAGGAGTTTACTATCTTGCCCGTGTACTTGTACCGCCCCCACCCACCCCGTACTTGAGAAATTTACAATCTTTTGTACATTTAGCCTATCTCCACCTGCCTAATAGGGCAGTGTTGTTATGCCAATTCACAGAGGAGCTGATCCACAGTGAACTTCAGTGCATGGTACTAGATGGGTTTGCAAGCACTTTGCAAGACAGAAACAGAATTGAAGAGAGCCTTGATAAATTTGAGAACTGTGCAACAGGAAACAGAATGAACTTCAACAAAGACAAATGTCTTCAACATGACAGGCAGGTGATCCAGGCTGACCTAGACAGGCTCAGCAAGTGGGCGGACGAGAATCTGATGGTGTTCAACACCAATAAATGCAATGTTCTCCACCTTGGGAAGAAAAACCCGCAGCATCCTTATAGGCTCGGCAGTGCTATGTTGGCTAGCACTATGCAAGAAAGAGACTTGGGGGTCATCATTGACCACAAGATGAACATGAGCCTGCAGTGCGATGCTGCGGCTAGTAAAGTGACCAAAACACTGGCTTGCATCCATAGATGCTTCTCAAGCAAATCCCGGGATGTCATTCTCCCCTTGTACTCAGCCTTAGTGAGGCCGCAGCTGGAGTACTGCGTCCAGTTTTGGGCTCCACAATTCAAAAGGATGTGGAGAAGCTTGAGAGAGTCCAGAGAAGAGCCACACACATGATCACAGGTCAGGGAAGCAGACCCTACAATGACGGGCTGAGAGCCCTGGGGCTCTTTAGCCTGGAAAAGCACAGGCTCAGGGGTGATCTGATGGCCACCTATAAGTTTATCAGGGGTGACCACCAATATCTGGGGGAACGTTTGTTCACCAGAGCGCCCCAAGGGATGACGACTAGGTCGAATGGTCATAAACTACTACAAGACCGTTTCAGGCTGGACATAAGGAAGAATTTCTTTACTGTCCGACCCCCAAGGTCTGGAACAGCCTGCCACTGGAGGTGGTTCAAGCGCCTACATTGAACACCTTCAAGAGCAAACTGGATGCTTATCTTGCTGGGATCCTATGAACCCAGCTGACTTCCTGCCCTTTGAGCAGGGGGCTGGACTCGATGATCTCCGAGGTCCCTTCCAGCCCTAATGTCTATGAAATCTATGAAATGTACGTACTACATTTAAGGGAGAAATACAGAATAGGAAACTGCTGCCAAGAGGACTGCTGAAGGTGGCCCAGAAACACAATGTGAATCAGCAATGTGATGCTCTCATAAAAAGCTGCAGTAATTGAAGTTTTGTATGTAACATGGGAGGTGATAATATCACTCTATTTAGACCTAAGTAAGCCTCAGTGGAAGCATTATATCCAGTTCTGGAAGTAAAGAAACTGAAGGAGATGTGAAGGGGAGTGGATCATGAGGACAAAAGAGTTATAATGCCAGCTGGCTGAGGAAGAGTTGATAAAACTGGTTAAATTTATTCTGGAGAAAATGAGATTAGGGAAGGAACATAACAGCAGCTCATGAATATTTGAAAGGCTGTCCTAAAGAAGACAAAATTTCAGTCCTCCCTTACCACAGAAGCAATGGACTTAAACTGTAGCCAAGGAGATTTAGATTCAATCATGGGAAAAACTTAATGAGCTGTAGGGGAATGGAACAGGTATCCTAGGAAAGTCATGGAATCCCTATTCTGGAGGCTTTCAAGAAGGGCCTGGATATGGTAACTACAATAGGTAGGATGTACACCAAAGAGGATCACTAATATATAATATGCATCTAAATTTAGGTAAATCTATCTAAATCTAAATTCACACTACAGAGAATCACTATCCAGGATTGACACTATATAAGACTTATATATGATAAAATTTGTAAATGTTTAAGATATAAATTGCCTTGGCTGCAATAAAAGTATAAACATGCCAACCACTAAACCAAGTTTACTCTAGTGAAGCAAGAAACTAACTGTCCTGGAGTCAAAATCAATTACAGCAGAGTGCCAGATACATGGGTAGAAGGACATGGGTCACCCAGGTAACCAAATGAAGTGCTCATGAGAATCTTGTGTTATAAATAATGCCATATCAGGCTCTACCTTGTAGTGATCCCTTGGGTTTAAGAAGCAAGTGTGCCTGTCGACAGGTGGGGAGGCTGTTCTGATGTGCTGTAATTACAGCACGTTAGAGCAAACTCGATTAATCTCCCCTGTGATTAATCAAGTCTGCTGGAGCGTTGTAATTAGTGTGCTCCAGCAGTCTCTACGTCTTGTGTATCAACATCCCTGTGCTTCAAAATGGCAGTGGGAGGGCACTTTAATTAATGCGTCCCCCTCAGCACTCCTGGAGCACATGTGAAAATGCCGCAAATGTCTTCTACCTGACCTGTTAAGTGGTCAAAAGACTACAAGAGGCATGGTTCCATTTCTCAGGCATTTCCCAGAACCTCCATTCAAACCTGTGGGAAATTGCTAATAAAAGTTTTGATTCTCAATAATTTCTTGCAATACTGTAGACAAACCTGGGGCAAATCTTTTTTTTGCTCTAGGGACTTTTGCTTCCACTTATATTTTTTCCCATGAAATATATTGTAGGTGTTATTGTAAGTAAGATAGCAGGGGAACAGAATTAATAGTGGCAGGTACCCAAGAGGCCTGAAGGAAAAAGGGAAGTAGCTGGGTAGAGAGGTCAAAGCGACTGCTGCAAGTAAACAGGCCAGTCAGGAAGAGGCATGGGGACAGAAGTATTTCCCTTTACAAAGCTACATGAATAATTATCAAGTCATAAATTCACCAGTGCGGGGAAGGGATGGAAGGTCCCATAGTACATGGATTACATTGTCATTTCCAAGAATGTCAGTGCCACCAGTTCCAATACTGAAATCACCTGCTATTATTATTTCCAACTCTGGAACTTTATTTGGATCACCTTGAGAGCATTACATAATGATTCCCCTTTCAAGATTATATCAGTTCTAGGTTTAAATGGTGGAAAATATAATACATTCATCAGAATCAGGAGATAATTGCCTTGAAATTTAGTAAGTGT